TATAGAAAATGTTGAGAAGCCCAAATTGCCCAAACTAGTTTGGGCTTTGAGAAAACAGTTTGGACCAGAAACCTTAGCCACCAACCCTGCTCTGAATTGTGACCTCCTGTGCTTAAACGAGCTGCAGATTCTCTTAATATTCATCAACAGAGTTGTGATGGCTTGGTCACAGTGCCATCCTTAGAGGTAGGATCATTGCAGTCAGCTTGTCAGCTAACATACCAGCCATCTTCTCTGGTCTTGGAAGATTAGTGAAAAACATCCTTGACGATTGGTGTATATAGTCTCGGTGAACTCCAGGGCCATGCTCCCCCCTGGAATTCAGTTGCATCATTGTATCATCAGGGGATGAGGTCAGTTTAGCCTTGTGTACACAAGGAAGATGAGAGAATGACTGTAAGTGTTCAAGGCAGCATGCGTGCTTCAACGCCAATAATCAAACATTGCATATTTGAATTGTTTCTTTTTAACATGGCATCTTCTTGTAATTATATATTAATAATAATAATTTTATTATGATTACGCAAAGCAAAATACCATCAATGAAAATCTTATAATTACCCAGCAAGATCTGCTCTGTGTTTTGATTTCCAATTAAAATATTTATAATAACCAAAAAAGACAATACAAATAAAAAAAAGTACCTCTGGTCAGTTATTAACACGTATTCTTTAGGAGACCCAAACCAAACCAAACAACAACACTCATGTTTTGTCACCTTGGACTCTGTCAAAAAATAAAACACAGAATGAAAGTATATAAAATGTTACCTTAATATTTATTTATGTGTTGGTAATGAAATGGTGGGGATTGGGCGAAAGTTTCGAGGTGGTAGTGAGATAGCTTGTTCCAACGCATGCATGAGCAAAGATTTGTTTACAATTAGGATGTTCCTCAAAGTTAGCAATAAGCGTATAAGAAATTTTACATGCCGTGCCCTATCTAAAGTCAGAGGTATTTCCGCTTGCTCTAGATGAAAAAGTCTCGGAATCCCGCATGAACCATTTATTATAACATCGAGAAATAGATTCTCGCCAGCCACTTGTATCCAAACAATACCAAATTGATTGCTAGTTTGCCTACATATGGAATTTACAAGATTAACACTGTCCAAAATTTCCCTCCACAATTTTACATCATCATCCCTTTTTTTGTATTACTACAGATGATATGTGAACTCTCAGCATATAAAAGCTCAATCACCTTCTTTATATTTCTCTATTGCCATAATATCAGGCTTCTTACTCCTTCGCCTATCTTTCGTTCCAAAATTTTTCCGAACCTTGCTAGCTATACTCTGACATTCCGCTCTGAATACAGAGGTGTACATATTTTAATAATAAAAGCAAAAATACTCAACTTGTTACTTATCTACTCACGTGCTCAAGCATATATAACCATTCGGAAGATCCATCAGACTCACTTGGAGCAAGGGAACAACAACATCTGTAATATACATCCCCTCACTTTGTTCATCACAAGACGCTCTTGTTGCAAATGCCGGGTTATTCCAAATCTCACCACTAATTAATATCCGATATCAGAAAGGTTATTATGATTGTGAAGATGGACGTAGAAAAATCCCAGAGAAGTACTTACAGTACAGCTAAAATACGGTCTACTACTTTTACAAGAACCGAATTGCTATCTTTCCATTTATTATTGTGGGGAATGTTCCTCATCTCTCTTGGAACCCCCGATTTCTTAAAATTTTCCACGAATATATCACACTTAGATACAACTGGAATCGGGTAGGGTACATCTCATGTTCTCGCGTGGTTGCTAATAATAAATATATAGTAAAAATGTATGTGAGGACTAGCTCACTTAAATACAATTGTTTCTTACCATAAAGACCCGCTTCTGTCTGTCTCCTAAATTTTCTATGATCTTTGATTTATCGCATAAGACCATATTTGCTTCTGGGTCTTGCCACGAAAGGCCTGAAGGGTCGATGGCATTTATCTTTTTCCCAAGAGCATCGCAGAGATACTCGTCCC